AAAAATAAAAATCAGTGTTTTTCCACATTCTCCTCACAGAGGGGCTGCAAACTACGGTGGCCGACACAAAAACACAAATGTCCCTATGTAGAGCCAGTGTTTGGTTTGTCTGTTCTAGGCTACTGTTGAAACATGGTGGTGCAACATGATGATCTCCATAAACAAGGATTCACTACCTATTTAGATATAAACAGCTTATTCTAAGGTAACAAAAACACATCTTTCTATATAATGACAAAAACTCTGTCTGTGTCTCTGTTCCATGTTTTTCTCCTGACTGACTTGGTCAATCCATGTGAAATTTGGCACAGTGGTAGAGGGTCATGGGAGGATGCGAATGAAGCAATATTACATCAATTGTCCAACCGATGAATGAAGCAATATTACATCAACTGGGCAACCGATTGAAATTGCAAACTTTGAATGGGCATATCTCATGCCCCGTATGTCGTACAGACATGAAACTTTGCACAGAGATGCCTCTCCTCATGAGGAACAAATTTGCCTCAAGAACCCATAACTTCCGGTTGTATAGATTTTCCGCCATTTTGAAGTTTGACCGATCTGCATGAAACTCAGTGAACATAATCTAGGGACCAATATCTAAAGTTACCTCTTGGCAAAAGTTGGAAAACTTACTAAAGCTGAGCTTCTATAAGGCAATGAATATTGCGGAGGGCATGGCTCATCACATTAAGGTGTATAACATCTAAAGGGTTTCACCGATTACCACACAACTTTGTAGGCATATGACCACACATACTCTGAGGGGATTCCTCCATTATCGACCTGATCAAACAAAATGGGGGCGCTAGAGAGCTAATTTGTTATCTAGACCTAACCACCATATTGATTTTTGCTAAACTTGGTAGATATGTAGGACAGGACGCCCCAAGGTGACTGGAGAAATGTAACTTGGTAAATGGAAATTGGTAACTGGGTGGTGCTATAACAACAGAAAAATGCTTAAAAATGGCTAGAATGCGACCAATCGCTGTGGCTCCCCCTGTGGCTGAATGCTGTTTTTTTTTATTATTATTATTTTTGGTATGACTAAGTCATGTTATGGTATGCTGTACATAATCACGGAAACTGTCAGTGTGTCATTCTGTCAGTCATGGTATGGTATGCTGTACATAATCATGGAAACTGTCAGTGTGTCATTCTGTCAGTCATTCATTCTGTCTGTCCCATGTTTTTTCTACTCACTGACGTGGTCAATCTATGTGAAACTGCACATAGGCATTGAGGATTGGCATAGGTAGAAGGTGACAAAGCTACTTTT